CGGCCCTTCCCACCGCGGTACCCCCCCAGTCTGGTATCGACCCTCCCCCCCGGCTCGGTACTGCTCGGGTCCCCCCCCCAGCCCGGTACCGGCCCACTCCTTCGCCACCGGCCCAGCACTTCCCAATCCCTCTCCTCTGGCCTGGCCCAACTCCTCCCCCCGGTCTGGTACCTTCCGCCTCCTCTGGCTCAATCCCCTGGCCAGGCCTGGTACCGCTCCGCTTAGCGCCTTCCCCCACGCCGGCCTGGTACCTCCTGCCCTAACCCTCCCCAGCCCGACCCTCACCCCACTTCAGTCTAACCCCTGCCTGTGCCCGATACCATCACCAGATGCTTCCCAGCCTGGTACTCCCTGGCTTATCCCCTTGCCCCACTGCCTGGTACCGCCTGGCCCGCCCCCTTCCGCCTACTGGCCTCACCTAAGTTCCCCCCTTTCCTTGGCCCAGTCCAGATGCTGGTCTCGATCTCCTGGTACCATTTGTCTAGCCCAGGCCCCTCTCTCCTAGTCTGGTATTGGCTGACCTGGTCCAAATGTTGATTGGTATCACCCAGCTGAGACCCTCTGCACTCTGGTACTGACCAGACCCTGATTGGTACCGTCCGGCATCGATCCTCCCCAGCTCAGTGCCACCCAGACCAGACCCTGGGCCTAGATCCCTTCCCATAATGGTACCGCCCAGACCAGATCCCACTCCAGTACCACCTTATGGGTACAGCCCAGCCTACATCCCTGCCACCCTGGTACCACAGAGATCAGACCCTCATTGGTACTGCCCGGCCTAGATCCCTACCCCATTTTGGTATGGCCCAGATCAGAACCTCATTGGTAGCTGGGCCAACCCAGATGCTCTGACCCTGCCTGGTGCTGTCTGCTGAGGCCCAAATCTTGGTACCACAAGTTGCAGTGTTTTGCCCCTCCCCATCTGGCCCAAATTCTCTATCCACCCAGTGTGGTGCCACCCAGTCCCACCGTAGTGTAAATCCAGTTCACTGGTGCCACCTGGTCCACGTTCCTCCAGCACCATCCACCCAGAACCATCCTCTGGTGTGACCAGGATGGGCTCGGAACAGTATAACCAGCTAACCCCCGACCGGTGCTGCCTGTGCGTAGTGCTAGGACCGAGACCTGCTGAGACTCAAGGGAAGCCCCTCTCTGAAAATTACCAGCTGCTCAAAGCCTGGGGCGACCCATGGAGCCCCCACCTTTGCGATAAGGCACCACCTGGCCCAGGCAGATGCTGGGATTGGGGGGCCAGCCTCCTTCCTCCGCTCTGTGCCCACAGTCTGCATTGGTGGGAAGAGACGCCTCCCATTCACTGGGAGGATGCCCCCACTTGGACCCCACAGACCCCTCCCAATGGGGGGAGTGCAGTCGGGAAGTTCCCTCTTTGTCGATGCAGACCCCCATGTTCTCCTGCCCTTTAGAGAATCCCCTTGAGCCCCCCTCCCCCACACAGGTACTTGAGATGCCCCTGCAGGAATGGGGCATTTTTCCTCCCCTTCAGGGGCTTCCTGCTCATTCACCCTCACTAGGGCTTTAGCTCCACTTCCCTCCTGGGTGCCACCCCCCATGGAGGTCTTCCCCAACGGGACCTGCACCCTTCCCCACTGAAGGTTCATACAGCCTCTCCAAGACACACCTATAGAAATTGACGCCCCCTCCCATTGGGGAAACTCCAGGAGACACCCCCTGCAGATTGGGGGGCTCCCTGCTGGAGAAACTCCAGGAGACCCCCCTCCCACTCATGCTTTCAGGCTCCCGCACTGTGGAGCGCCAGGAGACCCCTGCTTGTCTAAGTGTACTGCCATCTAGAGTCCTGCCCCACTGGCCGGCCCCTCCCTCATTCCCATATCTCCAGGGAGTATTCCTTCTCCCATCCCACTGGGGAGCCCCTCAATGGGACCCATACTCATGGGGTGGGGTGTATGTCCCCAGTGGGGACCCCAGATGCAAACTCCACCATGTAGTTAATCAGATATCCCCGCAGGCAGCCTCAGCTGAGCAGTGCCCTCAAAGGGCAGAAAGTGGAGTTCTCCCCACTTCCAGCTGTGCCCAGAGAAGTACCAGGGAAATACAAGTACCAGAGGGAGGGCATCAGGGATACCTGCTCGGTTCTGGGGCACCTGGAGCCTCTGTCCCTGGGCGCGGGTGCAGCCTGTTCCAGCAGGGGCCCAGTGAAAGGAACGAGGGTCTCAGTTTGATTCCTCTGGCCGGCAGGGATCTCCTAAGCTTCCCTGAGCTGCTGGCATTGGTGCCCGTGCTGCGGTGTCCCCGGTGACTGCTGGGAACACCAGTGGTTCAGGGCAGCTCCGGAGTCTGGTCGGTTTCAGGCCCTGCTCGTTCTGTGCAGGCCAGTTTGAGGCACAGAACTCACCTGATGGAGCTGGGAGCATTTTCCTCATCTGCAGTCTGACTGTGCCTCCCTTCCCCTGCTCTTCCACTCCTGGGATCCTCCCAGCTCTGCTCATGCCCCCACCAACCCAACCCTCTGCCCCTTTATGAGCTAATGGGGGATCCTGGCTACGCTCCGGGGCTGAACCCAGACAGATTCGGCCTGTGTCCTGTTGGATACGGGCCCCCTACCTGGCACGCGTCCATTCAGCACGCTTCGCCACGGGCCAGATCCTGCTGGGGCCTCGCCCACGAGGGAGGGCAGTCAGAGACTCAGCGCTGGGCTGAGGGGGACCTGGGCAGTGCCATGGGGCGAGTATCTCCTGGGGCTGCTCTACATAAGGCATCTCCCCCAACCTCAGGGTGCCGGAGAGGATTCTGGCCTAGGAGAGGGGCATATGAGCGGGTGCAGGGTCTGGAAGGGAGTTGTGACCTGGGGGAAAAGGGGTACAGAGGGTTTGGGTGGTGGCCTGGAGCAGGTAGTTGGGAGGGAGAAGGGGGTGCCAGAGGCAGGCTCTGGCTAGGAGGTGCTTACCTAGGTGGCTCCCAGCCAGCAGCCCTGCAGGAACCTGAGGCAGGCTCTCTGCTGAAGTCTGTCAGCTGGCTGTGTCATGGGGGGTCTGCTCCAGGCATGGCGGGGGGAGAAGGCTTCCCACGCTGACCCTGGTCTCGGCAAAATTTCTCAGCTCCCATTGGCCGGAAACTGTCCAATAGGAGCTGAGAGAATTTTCTGGGGGGGCACGGAAGGCCGGGTGCAGCGTGCGAGATCTCCCCTCCCCCGGGGAGTCCAGAGTGGGGAGCTGCCCGCTGTTTAATGAGTGAGCTGCGCTCTGCATAAGGGTTCTGGAGAGGCGGCCGCGGGCCAGATCTGGTGGCTTGGCAGGCTGGATTCGGCACACTGGCAGCTTCTTGCCCACCCCTGGAGTGACGGACATGTGGTTCCTCTGTGTGGGGAGGACTGTAGGGTTATCCCCCTCCGCCCCCAACTGATCCCTCCCTCTCTGCTTCCCTCCTGCCTCCCAGATATTAACGAACTGAATTTGCCGAAAACATGCGAAATAGATTTCTCCGACCAGGACGACCTCCTCAACTTCAAGCTAGTTATCTGCCCTGACGAGGTGAGGGGGGTGCGGGCGGGAGGGAGGGGTCCGGCGCGTGGCTGGGGAACAGGGACTCCTGCGTGCCAGGACTTGCCTTTCTATTCCTGCCCTGGGGAGGCCCCAGCTACCGCTCAGCGGATGGGCTCAGCCAGTGCCCGGGCTCCGGTTGCTGCTCCCTGCTGGACGGCCCCAGCTCAGGCCTGGGCGGGAGGCAGCTTGAAGTGTGTGGGGTGCTGGAGCCCCAGCCAGTGCATCAGGGAGCAACACGAGGAGCGGAGGCTGCACAAGCTTCATGGATCTGCCCGTGGACTTACTGTGCCAGCCTCAGCTCTGGTCCTGGCAGTGCCCCTCGCTCCTGATCTGCAGCCCCTTGCAATCCCCGTTTTCCCCCTGCAGCTCTGCTGGCGGCCGCGCGGTGCTAGCTGAGCCGGATGCTGCGGGGGGTGGGTGGCTCTGCTCCCTGCACTTGGATCCCAGGCCTCTTGGGGTGCTGGGGACCCCTGTGAGGATGCCTCCCTCACTGAAAGTCTTTCCTCTTTCAGGGTTTCTATAAAGGGGGCAAGTTCGTCTTCAGTTTTAAGGTAAGTCCCTTCCTCGCCCCTGGGCAGAGCGTGGCCTCGCAGCGGCCTCGTCTGGCCAGGGATGGGGGTGCCTGCACAAGCTTTTAGGGGCACCCCCTATCGGAGTCTCCTCTCGCTGTGTCTGAGAAGGGAGCGTCAGCCGGCCCCTCAGTCTGCCCAGGCTGGCGGCCCCTCTCCTGGGAGGGAGGAAGGTGCTGTGTCTGCTCGGGGGGGGTTGGGGACTTGCCCACAGTCCCCCACAGCTGGGGAGGGGACCCAGGAGTCTGGGCTGCTTGCACCTTCCTGCAGTGAGGGAGGGGCATCGGGGCCCAGCTGTTCTCCTGTGGGGGGACCTTGGGAATGACTCTTCGGTCCGTCTGTCTGTCTGTAGGTCGGCCAAGGCTACCCTCACGACCCTCCCAAGGTGAAGTGTGAGACCATGGTGTATCACCCCAACATAGACCTCGAGGGCAACGTCTGCCTAAATATCCTCAGGTAGGGAGTGCGTCTGGCTGGCCCGCTCCGGCACTGCCAGGCCGGAGCATTGCCCCACCCACACAGATCGGGGTGGGGGGGCGCCCCTCTCCAGCCCCGGGATCCTTCCCTTGCCTCACCCACACAGCTCGGGGAGGGCTGTGAGAATCTCCAGGGAGGGAATCTAGGAGTGTGACCCGCTGCCTACAATGGCCCACACCCGAGACTGCCACGCTCAGGGCAGAGTGCAAGCAACAGGGCCGGTGCGCCCCAAACTGGGTAAGTTTTACTGCCATTGGATGCCCCAGACCAGCAGCAAAAGAGCTTGTGCAGCAGCATCGAACTGGTTCCCCTTGATCCTTTCCAGCCCTTGCTTCTCCGCCACGCAAACTGGCGTAATCCCCTGTGAGGCTACTGAAAATCCAGTTCCCTGTACGTGAGTGTCCGCCAATCCCAGCGGGTCCGGCGCCTACCCCCAGGTCAAGACGTGTCTCCAGTCTTACCCGCGTGGTCAGCCAGTCCTGGGTAATTGAGGATTTATTAATGAAAAGAAGAGTTCTCAATGGTAAAAGAGCCTGCCTGTAGAAATAATCGCCAGGGCCTGTTATTCGGGTCACTGCTACCAACCTGATAAATAGACTGTTGGCTTGTAAAATGTCTCCAGTCACTGCCATTGGCCGCTCAGCCCCATTCAAAATACTTCGTTGGAAACCCACAGCCCTGAGAAGTGGAGCAGGAACGAGGCAAACCGGGCTCTCCGGGGGTTCTTCTATATCCTCTGCCATGCGCCTGGAGCAAAGCCCACAAGATCCAAGCAAAGATGGAGTCTGAGGGCAGATGTCCACGTCACGTGCCCTGGAGCGTGGTCTGCTGAATCACGGGGGTGGCCGCAGGCTCCCCGGGGGGGTCCACTGGAAGGGAATTTGTTTTTTACTGGGCCGTCGTGCTTGGGAAGCCTGTTCGCGGGGGGCTGGCGAGACGGCGCGTGAATGACTTTGGGGGGCTCACCCCGGGACAAACGTATGTGAGAAACAAAGGCCTCGCCAGGCTTCCCACCTTCAAATGCAGGGATGCTCCCTGAGCTTAATCCGGGTCATTCTGTTTGATCCGGTTTCCACTGACCCCTCACGTAATTTGCTGCCTCTGAGGAAGTGGCTTGTGCCCGCGGAAGCCCGTGATACTATATACTCTGGTTAGCCTCTAAGGGGCCACAGGACCACGCGTGGTTTTTAGTGGTAACAACAGTGATACAGTCATCTTCAGTCAAGCATGGCCAGGACATTCCCAGTGGCCTGCCTGCAGCGAGCGAGGGAAGAAGATAGGGGATCCCCGTGGCCTGCCCACAATGAGCAGGGGAAGGGTTGTGGCCGCCTCCCACCAGCTCCATGATCCCTGTCTCCTTCGTCAGATTCTGATGGGATTCACCACCCGAGGTCCCCCCCCTCCCCTTCCTGCCAAAAAACTCCCCCCAGCCCATGGCACCTGTCTGGCTCTCTTCCCTGGTCAGATCCGAGGATGATCCCCCTGCCCCCCTAGTGGGGTGTGGCTCATTTCTGAGCTTGATCACCCAGTTTTCACTCATGCCTCTTTTCTGCCCCCACAGAGAGGACTGGAAGCCTGTACTAACAATAAACTCTATAATTTATGGTCTGCAGTATCTCTTCTTGGTGAGTACCGGGGGCGGGGGCAGGTCTCACCTGCGCTGTTGTGGGGTGTAGGGTCATGGCTGGGGGGGGCCCAGTGGGGAGGCCATGGGGCAGGAGGTGGGAGGGGCCAGGTGTCTACTGCACTGTTTGGGGTGGAGATAGCTCTGGTGTTTCAGCTGGGGCGGGGCTGCGGCCCCCTCCCACCATGTGTGTTTGGGGGCTGGTCGTGGCGTTCTGCTCGGCTTGTTCCCTTGCTCTGGTCTGCATGGCCTGGGGCGGCCCTGGTGCCTGTTTCCATCTCTGCAGGTCCCTGGTGCTTTGCATGGCCTCCTCTGGGGCTCCCTCGCCCTGGTGCAGGCTGGGTGCCCCACAGCTCTTTCTGCGGACATGACTGGCTGCCCTGTTCTGGGGGGTGGAGCTGCTGCCCGCTTTGGGGCAGGTGCCATGAGTCCATTACGCACCAGTGGGATGCGTGGTCTGTGCGTTGGTCAGCTGCTGCGTCCCTGCTGCCTTGGGCTGACGCTGACAGAGTTGATGGAGCTCTTGGGGATCCCAAGGCTCTGGGAGAGCTGATCGAAAGGGGATGGGGCAACGGGGTGAGCAGCATCTGCCGGCAGCCTGAGATGGGTCAGCTTGGTGAGTTGTTGACTCTTAACCCTACTGACTGTGGCTGTCAGTGGCAGCACAGTGACCTCTTTTGCTGCTGCTCTCTTGAGCAGAGGTGTTCAGTGCATGTTCGTCTTCCCCAGTCTCTCATTTGTCCCTTTTTTGTGTGGCAGTTCTGCAGTTGATCAGACACCTGTGGACAGGGGAGAGAGTTCAATGTAATATTAAAATATATCCCACAGGTGGACGTCAGTATGAACCAGGGCTGGGGAACCCCCGGCTTGCCTGTATCCAGCCCTCAAAGCTCGGGGATCCCCCCCGCATTGGGGAGCCCGTACTGGTGCTCCAGCCCGCCTGCCACCCACCCACAGGGCTGAAGCGCACACAGTCTACTAGTCTCCGTCCCCCTAGGCTCTGGAGTGCAAGGGGATTGTGAGGAGTGTGTCTGTCTCTTTCTGTCAGGGGATTCTCACTTGTGTGTGGCCCCTGACTGATTTTTCTGAGGTAATGTCCCCCCCAACCCAAAAAGTTTCCCTACCCCTGGTATAATCCTTCCTGTCTATTCCACTATCACTGCAGTAATCGGGCACCCCATGGATTTATTCTCCCATGGCCTTGTGTGCCAGGGCTGGGCTGTTTATACCCATTGTACAGATGGGGCAGTGAGGCACAGAGATGGTCATGCAAGGTTAGTGACAGCACGGGGAAAAAAAGGTGACTCTCTCCTGAGTGCTCTAACCACTGCGCTTCGTTGCCTCGTTAGCCACCCAGTGGTCTCCAACCTTTTCACACCCAAGATCACTTTTTAAATGACAGTCCAAGCCAAGATCTACCGCCCTGCCCCTTCCTTGAAGCCCCGCCCTCTCTATTCTCCTCTTTTCCATCACTTGCTATCCCCAAGCCTTATACTGCTACTTTAAAAAAAAAAAAATTCCCACCATTCCTCGCAGCTACTCACCTGTGCTGTTGCTCGGTGAGTAGCTGCTCCTCAAATGAGGAAATCTAATGTAAATGTACTGCGCAGGCGCGCAGTTCAGAGAGGGCTCAAGAGCTACTCTTAGAGCCTCCGAGATCTACTGGTAGATCACGATCTACTGGTTGGTGACCACGGGGCCCTACATTAAGCAGTGAGGCTGCAGAGCACAAGGGGATTGGGTCTGATTTCTTCCCTGTTGCATGTATTTCGGAGCAGGCGTCAAGATAAAAGTGCAGCTACTGCCCCTTGACGTGCTGGCTTGTAAACACCCCCTCCAACTTCCTTAAAAAGAAACTGACGCTTCTAGTCTGAGCTCCTGTGCAGAACGTGGTTGCTGGCTCTTTGGAATTTGGATGGCTAATATAGTTGTGTGTGATGCTTTTTTTCCCCCCTATTGTTATCCATGGAAGTGTTCATGCTTTTCCAAAATTTGGGGATTTAGGCATTTATCCCCTCTGCCCCTTTATTGTTGTAAATGATCACCCTGCGGGAAATGATTGGCGGAAGGTCAGACACTTATGTACTGATGTTTAGGGGTGTTAACGTCACCACTGGGCTCATTGGTTAGCCATTAACTGGGGGGGACTGGAGCAGCAGCCCCTTTCCCGCTGCTGGCAGGAGGCCGCTCCAGCCTGCCCAGAGCAGTCCCCGTCTGCAGTGGGCCCGGGGCGCACTGTGGGTAGGGGGCTCCAGTCTGGCCAGAGTAGCCCCTGTCCATGTCGGGGGGGGGAGGGCACTCCAGCCCCCTCGCTTACCCCTGTTCAATCAGTTACCTGGTTAAATGTAACATTTAACCACTCAACTAATTAAACAGGATTTTCCATCCGTAGTGACATTCGATGTTGAGATGCAATGTTATCACTTCAAGCCCAGTTGTCAAAATGTGCCAAACCAAGTAAATAGCCTCCAGTTAAACTCCAGCGAGTCCTCCAGCAACACTTCTCTTTCTTTGCCTCTGAGTTCTGATATGTTTCAGTGTTTGGGGCAGTGTTTCCTCAAACTCAATCCTCTCCCCCCTCCCCCCCCAAGAGATAGCGGCTGTGTGTGTGTGTGTGTGTGTTTTTCCTCGACAAATTCCCCTCCCCCGGCTATAGGGGTTCCTCAAAATTCTTCCGAGTCTAAAAGGGTTCCGTGGCCAAATGAAATTGGGAAACACTGGGTTGGGGAAAGTAACATTTGCTGATAAATGGTGTGATCCTTCCGAGTCGTTACGTTCCATCCCCTCGCAGCTCTGCTGAATCTTGAGTTTGACTAAAGCATCTCCCAGGAAAGGGATCGAGTCTGGATGTGAAACCATCAGGAGATGGAGAATCCGTCACTTCCCTTGAGCGTTGGTTCCAATAGTTCGTGACCCTCGCTGTTAAAAGATTTGTGCTTCATTTATAACTGGGATTTGTCTGGCCTCAACTTCCAGCTCTTGCTAGATTAGAACATTAGATTAGTGCCAGGGGTTTTCTCCACAGGAAGATGCTGGAGTTTTGCCTCTGTTATAGGGTGGTGATTTTGGGGAACAGTCCATGGAACAGCCTCCTATCGTCCCTTGTCCCGGTCTTGTTTCTAAATCAGCACCCCACTCACACCCAGAACTCCCGCTGCTTCAACAGCTGTTTGAAACCTGATTCTGTGTGGGCTAGGAGTCTCTTCCCCTTCCAAAGTGACTGGTAAAAGAGTTTAAAAAACAGAAATGGGGCGTGTTCTCCCTCTCCGCTGCCCACTTAGAGTGAATATTAGTGACTTCCTTATTTAGAACATGGAGAATGTCTGATCTGGTCTTTCCTGGTGTAGCTGGAGGGGCCTTGGGAAGATCTTGGGATGTTTCTTTTCTGGTGGTGCTAAAGTTTTAGCAGTGCTGTCCTTTCTCCAAAATGGTCATCAGACATTGGCGTTAAATGGATCTTAAATACTTGGCCCTGGCCACGTGGTGGTAGTGGTGTTGGCTGCAGGACAGTGGAGAGACAAGGTGGATGTGGTGATATCTTTTATTGGACCCACTTCTGTCATGAGTCAGACAAGCTTTTGAGCTTACACACAGGTGCTCTTCAGGTCTGGGAAGGATGCTCAGAAATTGACAGCTACACACGGGGGAGGAGTTTGTTTAGCATGAGGAATGAACCCATTTCAAGGGACCATTCGCAGTGAAGTTGTCCAATAATGTCTCTGCATAGAACAGAAAAGGGAAGTTAGTGGGTAATTGTTATAATGAGCCATAAATCCAGTGTCTTTGAGTTACGTTTAATGTCTAGCAGTGTTGGGAATTTACGCTCCCAGGTTCAGTTTTGGAAGGTGTTGGGCACGTTTCCAGTGAGGAGCAGGCGATGGCTGTGAGCCGCGTTTGCCCACAGGTGACAGGGCGTTCTGGTCTCCTTGCTTTGCTGCGTGAGCTCAGTAAGGAGCAGAGGGAGTGTCCCGTTGCACCCATGTAGTTGCTGCTGGACACTCAGTGCACATGTGGTAGGGGTGTGTACGACCCATGGATTGTAACAGAGGGGTGTGTGCCGGGGATGGAAAATCCTGTGTAATTAATTAACCAGTTAAACACGTTGAACTGGCTAACAGATCAAATGGAGATGGGCCGAAGCAGCCCCCTCCACCAGCTGTGACCAGGCTGGAGCAGCTCTCCAGCCATGGGCGGAGACATCTCTGGCTGGGCTGCAGCTGCTCTCCCTTCCCCCCACGCTGGTTATCCATAACCAGTAGCATCACCCTGCCGGTTTTGCCTCAGTTGTTCTGGGAGGGTGTGGCGCTGTTTTGAGTTTGTGATAGGGATGTAAGCGAGTAGGTCACTGGTTTATTGTCTGATAAGCATAAGCTTACTGGATAGTTGACTAGTCGCTTCCCCCCCCTTTGCTGCCTCTATTGGAGGCAGCAAGGAGCGGGGGAGCAGGAGCCATCTTAAAAGCCTGTTCCCCTGAGCATTGTCTCCGTGGGGAGCAGGGGGGTAGCGGGGACCGGGCGCAAGCCAGGAATCAGCTGAGTCCCGGCTTGTGCCCAGTCCCAGGACGCTGCACCTCTGCTTTTTAAATGTATTCTATCACTATTTAAAAGGCTGGTGCACGCGGGGTTCGCTCCCGGAGCCGTCGCGGTTTCCGCGCGTATCGACTAGTCGATGGAATTTCCATCGATTAGTCGATTTTAGTTGATTATACCAAATTTAACATCCCTAGTTTGTGAGGAAATGGGGGGCTGTGTGAAGGCCAGGGGTTGGGGACAGGTTTCTTTCTGAGTGTGGTTCCTATGCAGGCTGTGTGGTGTTGTGATATCCCATCTGGGCTCTGTGGTGAAGGGTAGGTGACAACCCAGCGTGTGCCGTAGGCGTGTCTTTGTGAGACACTGAAAATCAATAAGGGCGTTGGGTTTATGGCTCATTACAGCAACTGATGACGTGCGAACCCTCCTTTGTCTTACGCCGGCAGAGGTGTGTTAAGTGCTCACTTCACCTTGAACGGTTACCACATAACTAGCGGTAACCCTGCAGGGTTTCCAGTGAGCTAACTGGGCTGCCTACGGACATTGTACTGCCGGAACGCCGTTGGATAGAGGGGTGCCGTGGGACCCACGCACTTACGCTGGTAGGCCCTTAGCTGGGACACAGTTATACCGCTAGAAAGGTGCCTTGTTCTGCGATGATTGTATTGGCTGTATGCAGAGGACTGCGTTAGCGACAGTGGGTTGATACAGTCTTCCATTGCTACGCTGGCTGTGATCTAGAGCTTGGCAAAGGAGGTCAGTATCCATCCTGATTTTAAGGGTGGGGAAACTGAGGCACAAAGGAGGGTGTGGTCGCCCAGCGGCAGCGAAGCAAGGCTAAGAACCGAGGTGGCCTGGTGCCCAGTTCAGCGCTCTGCCCACAGTAGGTCATGGAGTTCCCTGTGGCTAAAATGGCTGAAGGTGGAGGATGCAGCGAAGGGCCCTCGGAAGTGAGGCTAAGGGCTGTTTTGCAGCTGGTGTTCTCCTGGAAGGATGGGGATGTGCGGCAGGGGAATGCAGCCCTGATTGGGGTGGGGGCATCCGGGGGCCAGAGCAGCCTCTAACCCCATCTTCTCCCCACCCGCAGGAGCCAAACCCCGAAGACCCCCTGAACAAAGAGGCCGCCGAGGTCCTTCAGAACAACAGACGCCTGTTTGAGCAGAACGTGCAGCGCTCCATGCGAGGCGGCTACATCGGCTCCACCTACTTCGAGCGCTGTCTCAAATAGAACTGACCAGCCGCCCCGCCCCGCCCCGCCGGGGACTCTGCCAACACCGCTGCCT